TATTTTTGGGTAAATTTTAAAAAGCATGTATTTTATATTGTTAGATGCAGATCTAATATATAGAATTTATTTATTTTTATTTTATGAGAATAATATTTTTGATATAGGATTCAATAAAAGATTGAGAGTTAATACCCTAATTCTATGTTTGGTTTGAAGGACAAGGTAAGGAAACCCATACGAGGTTTGTAAAGGTTTCCTTATCTTTCCCTTCCTTTACCTACTTTTTCCTTCAAATGAAACACAACTTAAGATAAGACTTAGTGAAAGGGAATTGAATGGGGAGGAAATGTAGTAGTTCAAATTACACTATGTACCCTCACAATTAGAGAAGGACTAAATTTCAAAGTAGGGGTATTCTAGTCAAGAAAAGGATTCGATGAATGTTAGTGGGAGTTAATACTTTAAATATGAGATTTAATGAGAGAGATTTGAATAAGAAAAATGATTTTTCAAATTACAATTCTATCCTTAAAAATTAAATAAGGACCGGATTCAAAAATTGGGGTAGTTTAGTCAAACAAAAGTTCATCGTTATTATTCACACTTTTGATAATAGTATAAATGACATTTTTGCTATAACTTGCTTTCCAATTATTGAAAAAAAAGAAGTATCTTTTTATCAAATAAGTAGTACTAAATGAAGATGTAAAGTAACAATTTTGCCTTGTTTTATAATTCAAACTTTAGAGATGGGGCATTTGTTATCCAATGAAAAGCTAGAAGCAGTGACATCTATTCACACTTTTATAGATAGTATAGATTATTTCATAATCATAATCATTTTCAATGTTCTACTAGCCTTCTTGGCTCTCTTTTCAGTCTTATGTGTAAAGTCAACCATTTTATGCCTCATGGCCACAATATTAGACTAGACAGTGAGAAAAAAAATTAATATAAAATTAGAGTTCCTTTTTCAATTTTTGGTAGGAAACTAAGGAAAGTTTGGATGTATCGTAGTTAAATTTTAAATGCTTGTTAATGTGATAATAATCATGTTAGGAATAGTAACGGGGTGGGGCGGGGCTGGGTTTTGCATGCCCCATCCTCAACCCCAAACTCAAATACCCCGCCTGTCCTTGCTCCAAACCCCACTGGCGCTAGAAATCCTAACCCCATCCTCGTCCCTATGGGGAATGTGGATCCCCAAATATGCTTTGCGCTACCTTGATCATTCCTACTTGTAAATTTATTTATTTTTATTTTTTTAAATGTACTTAGAACTATATTGTATTATATTATGTAATGTAATATAGTATACTATATATAATCTGGGTAAATTTGAGGCCGAGGCCATGATGGAGTGAACAAATACCATTTTTGCCCTATCTCCGGTCCTTGTAGTCTCAGGTTTCCTCGAAACCCACCTCAAACCTTGATTAGTGGTCAAAAAACCCATCCCAACCAGGTGGGGCGAGGCGAAGGCCCACGGGTCAAATTGCCATCTTTAGAACATATGGATGCAAAACCATAATTAATTATTTTGGTAGCTAGCTAGATGGAAATTAAAAATAATTATTTGACGAAATCAAGAAAGCTACTCCAAGCTGGCAAGCTGGACGGAGGGATGATACATTAATTGCAAGCAAAGTCCATAGGCCATGTCTAGGAGCCACAATATTGTATTCCTTTCCTTGTTGTTAGTGGGTGAAGGTGGTCTTTCTTTCTTCTTTCATTTTGATATCTTGATTAATTATCTACATTAAAGCTCGTTATAGTTTTAAGGGGGTGTTTTGTAGTGTGGATGAGAAATTGGTGGGTGTGGATTGGTCCACACCACACCTTGTGACAAGGACTTATCCACACCACACTACAGTCTACAGTTGTTCTGAATTGTGGATAGATTGTGTAAACCAGTCCACACTCAAGGTGACATTTTGTAGGTGTGGTATGGATTGGTCCACACCAAACACCATACTTTTTTGATTCCATGCATCTTATGTACATTTTATGGAAGATCTACATGATTGATCACAAATGTCTAATTTTTGCATTTTATATAGTAAATAAATTGAAAAAAATGCATCAATTAATTAATATATAGGCAACAATTGCATTTTTTTAAATAATTAAAAAATATTATTTTAAATATTAAAAAAAGTAAAAAAATATATTTTATTGATAAAAAATTAAAAAATTAATATTTAAATAATGAAAAAAGAGTGAAGAAAAACCATCAGACTTGTACTAGATTTAACATTGAAAATTATTATTTTATTGATAAAATATTAAAAATTATTAAAAGATTAAATAAAATGAGGGTAATTAGACTAATGTAACACAAGTGCATTATACTGAAACCTTCCAACAAACTGTTCACACCATAGTGTGGACCATCCACGAGAAAATATTATAGATGATAAATTGGGGTGTGGCCCGTCCCTGTCCACACTATTTTGTAAATGGGGACCGCCCACACATAACAGAACACAATATCTTTCCGTGGATATGACTAAAATAGTCCCGTCCACGATATTTACACAATACCGAACACCACTTATATAAATGATAAGTGGAAGCCAAAAAAGGCTAGATGAATTTGATTAAGTAGATTAGTAACTATTAATACACTTAGCTTAGTTGCTTTAATAATTATAGTAATTTCGTTTCATCAAATAAGGCCATGTATCTATTATATTGGACAGTTTTTGTCTTTCATCTAGGAAAAGTGAATTGTAGATCTTCTGAAAACATTATAGGGTTCCATTTGGCTCTTCCTTTGATAAAAGGTTCTCAGGCCTCGTTTGATTCGCAGGAATAGGGGTTTGGAATTGGAATCAGAATGGGCTATTTTGATTCCAATTGTTTGATAACGGAATCGGAATTTCATTCCCATTCTTATTGGAATGATATTCTCCTATTTGAGGGAATGGCCATTCCCTATCCCTCCCTTAAAAATTAAATTCCATTTTTGCTGATTTTAATTTTCATTCTCATTCTTGTCTAAATCAAATAGATTATGAAAATAAGCCATTCCAATTTTGATTCTAAAGGATTTCAATTTCGATTCTGACTGTCAACCAAACGGACCCTGATACATTAATTGCAGTTTACAATTTCATGCGATACTTAAGAAGATCCTATTGTGGTATGTCTGTAGCTTTCTTCTTCACAAATCTTCACAGATGAGTCATATTTAGGTGAATTTTCTGTTTCGATGAATCACCCATGGTCCCTATTGTGCCGTGTCTTTTTTTTTTATCACAAAGATTACGCAAAATCTTAGAGTGAGGTGTTTTAAATTTCTAATTCAATGCTAACTGCTCTAATCGACTAGTGTAATTTGTGTCGTCTTAATAATTAATTAAAAACAGAATTCAGCGATACATGTCATGATCATGTCGTGGATCAGAGGCAAATGATGGACACCTGTTGTGGGCGTGAATAGAAACTATGCTGCTCTTGCGTTCATACGGTCACAGGGGCTTACATGTAGCACTGCTATTTATTATGGTGAACTGTCAAGGTTAATTAGGAATTCTTCAATTAATTCCTCTCTGTTTCACTTTCACTACGGATATTCAATCAATCCTTAGCTCTCTCTTAGTGTTGAAGGCATTAATTTGCAACTTCTTAGATTTAAAAGCTTTTCTTTAACTTCTATATATACTTTTTGTTTTTTTCCCTCTTTTTTTTTTTTGAAAGCTATATTTACTGGAAAATCCCTTTAATTAGCAGGTGCAAGGGAAGACATTTGCGATGTTTTCATTCACACAAGACGAATGTTTTAATTGCAACTCGATCTTCTTTGAAAATTAACTTCAAGGGTTTGTTACCCTGTAAAGCCTCTTTTGAATTTTGATTTCACCACGAACGTTGAAAGCTCAATAGCTTAGCTAGTCAGCTGACCATGGAAAGGAGAAGCCATGAAAAACAAAAATGCAAGAAATAAAAAAGAAAAAGATAGTTTGGGACGGCTATTCCAAATACATCTTAAGGCTCAGTTTGGAAAGAGTACAAATACAAATATTGTAATTGTACAATGAGACTACATAGAAAATAAATAAATAATACAAAATACAAGATTTAGCAATTCTACATATTTGTAATCTTACTCTTTTCAAACTGAGCCCAAGACTGAATTCGGTTGCATTTGTATTAATACAAATGCATGAGAATGCAAATGAAAAAAATACAAATTCTCGTTTAATTTAACTTTATTTTGCTTTATGTCTTAATTTACTTCATTTGTATTGCAATCAAACAAATTAAAATAGGCTAAAGTTTTAAACAAAAATAGGTCAGAATTTACACTCAAATCATTTATATCATTTATACTGTCATAGTTTTACATCAATACAAATTTATTTATATTGCAACCAAACACAGCCTAAAGAACATCAAAACGGTCGGCGGAACGTCTCAAGTTTGGTGATCATAAATGTCTGATTAGCTACTTTGCTTCACAAAATTTGTAAAATTTGAACACTAGTTGTGCAATAATCCTGACTCACAACCACCCCCAACCGTAAAGATATTCACCAAGTTTATGGCGGTTCAGTTGCAGGTTCCCCACATGAGTATTGAGCAACGATTTCCTTCAAAAGGGATGGAATGCCAAGTCAAGGTGGAGCAAGAGCTTAGAGAGTTAGAGGTGCACCTAGTATAGCAAATTAATTAAGATTTTCCCTGTAGTCTGTAGAGGATAAATACTTTGGAAGAGCAGTCAGATATATAATTGAATGGATTCATGGTCATCAAAACTCTAAACTAAAGTACGTAGTGTGTATGGCTAGAGTTCATGTAAAAGCTTAAGAAATTAAAATATATGATCGAAAGCTATAACATTGACAAATGGTTTAAGAAATTAAATAGTATAGCAAATATTGCATTTGCATGGATAATAAATATTATATTGCATAATTAATCCGGTGGGTGTTAAGGAAAATAAAGTCCAGCACTCCAGCTAAGAGTAGCGTTGGGTGACGTGAGAGCTTCATTTAATCCTTCCATCTGCCTTCATTCATTGCCTCCCAGCAGCCTTTAAATTCTCATCACCTCACAAAACCCAACACTGCCTAATTCACCAATCCACTCCAACCCAATTAACCCAGAGGCCAGAGCATCCTTCTGTCTCTCTATCCCTAGCTCCCGCCTCCCGGAGCCTGTCAGTTCATATTCAACCGTAAAGATGCCACCAGCACTCCCGAATTTCTCCAGCTCAGTGAAGCTCAAGTATGTAAAACTTGGTTACCAGTACCTGGTGAACCATATTCTCACCTTTCTCCTCATACCCATCATGGCTGGAATTGTGGTAGAGCTGCTTCGGCTAGGACCCGATGAGATTCTAAGAATTTGGAATTCTCTCGAGTTTGATCTGGTTCAGATTCTTTGCTCAGGTTTCCTCATCATCTTTGTTGCCACTGTGTACTTCATGTCCAGACCTCGACACATCTACCTCGTCGACTACTCTTGCTTCAAACCCCCGGTGACATGTCGTGCCCCGTTCTCCACCTTCATGGAGCACTCCAGGCTTATCAACGGAGCCAACACCAAGGTGGTGGACTTTGAAATGAGAATTCTCGAGCGATCAGGCCTTGGTGAAGAGACTTGCTTACCCCCGGCCATCCATTACATTCCTCCCAAACCCACCATGGCTGACTGCAGAGCCGAGGCCGAGCTTGTTATTTTCTCCTCCATCGATTCACTCCTCAAGAAGACAGGGATCAAGCCAAAGGACGTTGACATTTTGATCCTCAACTGTAGCATGTTCTCGCCGACACCATCGATGACGGCAATGATCGTGAACAAATACAAAATGAGAGGGAACATAAAAAGCTTCAATCTCTCTGGAATGGGTTGCAGTGCTGGGCTTATATCCATTGATTTAGCTCGAGACCTGCTCCAGGTTCACCCCAACTCTTATGCACTGGTGGTGAGCACCGAGATCATAACCCCAAGTTTTTACGGTGGTTCTCAGCGATCCATGTTGCTCCCCAACTGTCTATTTCGGATGGGCAGTGCCGCTATCCTTCTTTCCAATCGGAGAAAGGATGGTTGGCGCGCCAAGTACCGTTTGGCTCATGTAGTTCGCACCCATAAAGGTGCCGACGACAAGGCCTACCGCTGCGTTTATGAAGAAGAAGACCCACAGGGTATAAGGGGTGTATCGTTGTCCAAAGAGCTCATGGTGATTGCCGGGGAGGCTCTCAAGTCCAACATCACAACAATCGGACCTCTCGTCCTTCCTGCATCGGAGCAGCTCCTCTTCCTCTTCACGCTTATCGGCCGGAAACTCTTCAACCCCAAGTGGAAGCCTTACATTCCCGACTTCAAACAGGCCTTTGAGCACTTCTGCATCCATGCCGGAGGACGTGCCGTGATTGACGAGCTGCAGAAGAATCTTCAGCTTTCAGCGGAGCACGTTGAAGCGTCGAGGATGACACTCCACCGCTTTGGCAACACTTCATCGTCGTCTCTCTGGTACGAACTAAGCTACATTGAGTCCAAGGGTAGGATGAAGAGGGGAGACCGCGTCTGGCAGATAGCATTTGGGAGTGGGTTCAAGTGTAACAGCGCGGTATGGAAGTGCAACCGCACCATTAAGGCAGACCCAGAAAGTCCCTGGTTCGATTGCATCGACAGATATCCCGTCCACATCCCTGAAATCGTTAAATTATAATCTATTTTTAATCTGGTTCTTGGCCGCCACTCGCCACTCCAGTACTGCAGTTGCTACTTATTCTCATAAACAAGTTGTGCAATTTGCAATTAGTTCTGTTATCAAACTCGATCCCACATCACACCACCTCTCGTCAGTCGCCAGCCGCTGCTGCTTTTAATTTGTAGGGTTTCCAGTGGGTTTTAATTTCTTTGGACTTTTGAGATACCTACTACCAAGATGTATGAATGAATCAGAATCTTCCTCCTCTCTTTAATTAGAGGAAATACAGCTGAAGAATTAACCGTCGTTGCTTGGTCTTGGTGGACAAGCCGATGAAGCAATAATTTTACTTTGAAGGGTTTGACTTGAAAAGTTGAAATTGAAAGCTGTGGTTTGTGTGACTCTCTCAGAATCTCTCTGAGGTTCTGTATCTATTGGTTCAGGTGCATTCATGTCCATGAAACTTGCTTTTCGATTTTCCAACCCCCCAACCGAAAGGCTGTAAAAAGGGTTCAACTGTATTGGAGGTTCATTTATCATGAAAATGTTTGACGTGGCATCTCTACGGAAATGTTTCCCTTCAGAGTCTGTGGCCTGTAGGTGACGGGAATATTTACTGTTAAGTTAATACGGGAGATGTCCCAATGCATGGTAAGATGTGCCGTGAGAAGCGCCAGATGTAAGGAATAGATCCGGTCTAGCCTGTGGGTGTGGGTGTGTGCAGCTGGAGTTGGTTGATACATAAAACCGTGTGAACCCTACGTGGCTACTGTGTTTGGAGTGAATTGAGATCTGCTCCTCACAATATACGTCTCCAGGACACGCTGTGAGGCGCGATGTGTGAGGACTGAGGAGCAGATCCGGACTCGTCGTTTAGAGTTCATCTTAGTTCATTTAATCCGGCCACGCTATTAAATTGGAGAAAACTTGGGCTGTCCACGTTTGATAGCCTGTACCCTGTACTGTGTCTATGTATGCTGTCGACATTCGATAGGCACGGCACGGCCTTTAGAATTGAATTAGAATTATGGCCCCACCAAGAATCATCTCATTCAAAGTAAGGCCGTATCCAAACATCATAGGCTTTGATTTTCTGTTTTAGCGGCAGCGTTTCGACAATGTTACGTTGCACCAAAATGTTTTTGGTATTCCACAGTACAACATGCAACCATGTTTTCGGCACTCTTACTAGTGTATAGAGTTCATATAGGTTAAGAGGGTGGGACCGGTATTGGGCATAATGGTTGGGTTGTTCTATTGCAATATAGGGGTGAGGCTCGTACAATTGTCTCTCCTCATTTCTCGCATTAGCAGAAATCGAAGTTCATATGGATTTAAGCCATTATTGTTTCTATATATCTAAAACGTTTTAGTTTGGATGATCAATTTATGAATTATTGAATTTTTGGTTCCTGCGTGAGGGTTTTTCTCTCTTTGCGGGAGGGTCTCTCTCGGCCAGAGGATTTCTCTCTCACATTTACGGATGTGAGTTTTTCTCTGTCACACTCTATGTAACGGTTTCTCTCTTATATTTATGGATGCGAGTTTTCTTTTATTTCTCTTCATATCGGTGTTTGTTGGAGAGGTTCTTTGGACAGATTTGAGAGATGGCGGTTTTGATCTGGGCCTATGAAACATATTTGGGATCTTTGGTTCTATTCATTCTAATTTTCGTTTTTCCTTTGCTCTTTTTCTTATTTCTGTTGGGCCTTAGTTGAATATGTGTGTGGTGTGCCTTTGGAGTCTGCCATAGGTATCCATTTGTTTTGTAATGATGTTATCGTTCCTGGCAAGCCATTTTCCAATGATCTTAGAGTTCTCTCTGGCGATGTTCATGATCCAATTGTTTCTGTTTCTATAACAACATGGATAGGTGATGTTTTTATACATTTTATGTTTCTACAATTACAAGTTACTACTTATTTTGTGCACTTTTGGCTTTTTGTGGGGCCCATTCCTTAAATGTTTGGATGGTGGAGTGTTAGGGAGCATTTTGTAACAAGAGGCGATCTTGGGCCTTTACCGCTTTCACGTTTTCAATATTGCCATGAATTGGGTGCCATAGCACCTGTTCTCTCTATACCCCTTGAGGGTCTTGCATAGTTGATCCAGACTCATTTGGTAAGGAGACACTTGCTAGCTTCATCTATATTGGAGGCATTTAACCGAACTTTTTGGCATTTCTTAAATTTGCGTTGGTTGTAGAGATTTCTCAAGTCATTTTTTTTCTCTGTGCTCATGATTACCTGTTTTTGTCTCAGCATGCTTAACATGTTTTTTGGTTGTATTTTTTATTGCTGTTATTTTTTTCTATTTTATAACCTGAACATTTATGAATGAATTTGCCTTTAGGCATAAAAAAAATCAATTTATAAATTGGCATATAATGATATAACTGTTATTTGAAGTTATTTATTATTGAAACTTGAAACAGGCATACATGACATTATTTATTATAATGCCAAATTAACGTTTTTGCTTGAGGGAGGGAGGATTTAATCAATCATATGTGACAACACACATGACTCATCAATTAATTCTGTATTAATCACTTAAAGTAGAAACAGCAATGTAGAAAAACAACCTATCATCATGTCACTTAAAGAGTCGTATTTTTATATAAAATATATATTATAATTCTTTTTACTTTAGTTTAGTTTGTTAATAATATTCAATATTTAAATCCATCCTAGTTCATTATGAATCTGAGAAATAATATTTGATTCGATCCAATAAACGTAGTGGCAGGCAGTTTAAGTGCCCTCGTACCTGGTTCCAGTAGAAATATTAAAGTTATGTTTAGTTAAAATTCTGCTCATCCAAAGAATGATTATTTGAAGAACAAGATTTGAGCCAAAGTTGTTTCTTTTTAAGTTAAATTCTTTTACTCAATAATCAATTATTAGAATGAGTTTTGATATTAAAAAAATGTTTAGTTTAACAGATTTTTATACATCCAAACTTAAAATGAATTTTATAAGTCAAAGGGGGTGGAAGATCCAAGGGCCAAAAAAATAAGATATAGATTAATGGAAGTTCATCGCCTGATGAAGGTATCAGTTGTTTGTCGTGGCTTCAATTTCAATTAAAAGTTTCCTTTGTTGGTCTGTCAGCTTATATGCTTCTTTTGTCCGTTCCAATTTCATTATAAATTCTTTTGTTATTTACTTCTCGATAATATAATATGGGCAACAATAACTTCAACAAGTTATTGAATTAATATACTTTGATGTTAATTCCTCAAAAAATATGCATGGTGTTTGAAAGTTTGGGTGTTTTTTAGGATCGATTTTCAAGAAAAAAACGTCTATACTTCTAAGACCCATTTTTCACAAAAAACTTTTCTGCCACATAGTCAGTGAGTAAAACTTTCACAAAAAACTTTTCATGTATGTGCAGATAGGTAAGCACCACGTAGAATACACATCAGTCAACCGTTGGGGGAAACGATTCACCGATGCATGAAATACCAAACAATGAGATACACATTGGTGGGGTCCCGATTTTTGAGGCATGCCCGATTTTTTAATAATCGGCTAAACCAAACAATGAGATACATGAACGCTTGTTAAAATGCCTATATGGATCCAACGTGGCATCATTTTTTTGAAAAACGGCCACAGTTTCAAACATCCCCATGGTATGTCCACTTTATTTCTTATGGACATCTGGAGGATGAGGCTGGCCCGAACTGTAAAACCTCAATTGGTTGCAATTGGTAAAGACTTTGGGCCTAAACCCCACTTGAAATTGGAGGGAGTACCTTAACCCGGTTCTAGCTGGTACTGGATTTTTTTTTTTTTAATATAGAATTTGAAAAGACGGATTTCATTGATACGGTCAGATTATAAAATCAAATAAAATAATAGATAAATTGCAGATTAGTACGTTATACTTTAGGGTTAATCTAACTTTAGTGGCTAAAGTATAAGCTATTAATCTGGAAATTAATCCATTCTTTTGGTTATTTCAAAATTATGCTTTTTTCACTTATTCAAAACCTGAAGGGTATTTTTGTTCTTTTATATGCCATCTGACTCCGTTTAACAATTTTAGACTAAACTAGCAGTTTTTGAGAGTTGAGGTAATGCAATAACATGTTTTAAGGTTTGGGTACTAAGCTTATAAGACTAGCCCCAAATTACAGAGAACTAATTTGCACTTTACCCTAAAACAATCAGCAAGAGAAACAAAAAATAGTCCCATGTTATAGAGTTGGAACTTTGCTATTTCTTTCTCTGGTTTGTGAAATGTCGTTGGGTATCCTGTTGGTTACGTTTGAGTTGGACTACAATGGAATCTAATTTCATTTTCAACTCAATTCCATCGAACTTATGACTATCCACCAACAAAATCTCAAATCCGACTGGTTGCCTAAAAATAGTTAGTTTCTGAACTCTCTTCTCTCCACTGCAGAAATATAACACAAAAGGGTGGATCATGAAACTTGCATAATTGGCAACGTCCATTCCACTCATCTGTGTCTCCATATAAGAATTCAAATATTTATCATTTCTCTTTCCTTCTCTTTATCATCATTTTTTCCTTCTTTTAGAACATGTTTACCTTTCAGATAGCATACATATTTGGCAAATGTCAAGTGACCAAGTCTAACCCAATCAAAATCTGCTTCACTTCATTCTTTTTTTTCCCTATTAATTGTGATAATTATTGACGTTTTCCCACACCCCACTTTTGATAAATGAGAATCTAATGGAGCCTGAGCCCATGAAATGATTCAAATCAGTCGAATGATCTGTGAACAAATAAAAGGTGGAAAACTTCAAATCATCAATTGAGTAACGGAACCTTCCTTGCACAGACCAGAGAGTACAGGTCTCCAATTCCTAAGTTGAGACTAAAATATGTAGATTAAATACATGGGAGAAATAATCTACCCCAGCCCAATTAATACATGGGAGAAATAGCCTAGCCCAGCCCAATCAAACTTAAGTCCTATGCTTTTTTTTTTTTTGTTATGTTTGAAACCGGCGCAGCCCTATTCAAACTTGTTGTTATGCTTACTATAAATTATAAACCAATATTTCATAACCTCCCAAAATTATGTTTTGCACGGAACCGTGGCATATATATATATATATATATATAATTCATTACATTCTTCGGCTTTGAAGCCCTTGGAAATTGGAATAAAGGAATAAGGGTAATTTATAGAGACCACCCTGTACTTTGGGCGGTATGACACTTAACCCCTTTTTCTTTTTTTTTTTTTTTCAGAACATTCAGCCCTACATACTTCTTGCATCTTGACAAAGAAAAATAAAATAAAAGGCTCAATTTGGAAGGACTATAAATAGAAATATGTATAGTATAAATACATACACAATATACCGTTTTGCACTCTACATATTTATATTTATACTCTTTCCAAACTAAGCCAAAAGATCTACTCCCTACAAAAACTCTGCATGCACCCTGAAAGCACTTGTATCTATCTATACCCATGCATTGGAAACATCTCCCCATTAATTTAGCTGGGAGATATATCCAATGTGCGTGTAGACACCATTGCTTTCAGGGTATCTGCAGAGTTTTGTGAGGATGGATCTGCGCT